TAAACTTACTTTTGATATCGTTTTATCACTCTTCTTGCGCAACTTACTAGAAATAATTTAACAAAGGAGAAATCCTACTTTTTAGAATCTTCCAAACGTTAATAATTAATTGAGTAAATGTACCGCGATGTGCAGGCGTGGCAACATGGTTGGAAGAACGCCAATCTACCGTGGAAATTCGCCGGCATTGTTAGGTACCTACAGATTCTCGCGATTCCTTGAACACGGATTAACGTATACAATTAACCACACCAGTACACAACATTTGCATAGCCGATTATAATGTAACACGATGACTCATATTACTACGGTTTGTATTCAGCGTACAATGTAGTCGTAGCAAACAGTTACAAATGCTACAAAATAGTTTTGAATTTTTCTAAAGATTTCATCTGTGCATGTAATTCAAGAAATAAACTCGAAAATTGTACAACAGAAGACTACTTGGAATATATTTGCATGGATGTGCGGGTAATACTAAAACAAAATACAATACACCCACACCTAAAGTATTGCAATGGTATGAAATGGGATAGCGTCTCGCTCGGAATTTGTCACATCGCCACCTACTCCAGTTTAATATTAAAATTTCGGGAAGCAACAATAAAGTTCCTTGCAGAATGTGTTAAGTATATCGCGCCAATATGTGCCAAGTGCTATAAATTTACGTTAGTCCAGCAGGACAGTTAAGAATGCAAGCCAAAAACACAAATTAAATTGCAGCCTAACGCATTCTTCCAGCGGACACATCACAAGAAATGATTTGCTGTTACTTATTTTACTTCAGCAATGTTCAGTCATATGTTTTATGTCAGTTTTAAGCTTTGCTATGCGTATGATTACCCCATGTATATAATTTTATTTAAAATATGATGCATCTAAGTCGGTATCTAAAGAAATGTGTAACTTTGCGTTTGATCATAAGATCGATTGTTTGATTGAATATTTACTCCGAAAGAGTTGCTGTTGCAATGGCCTATAACTTATGTGGATATTGCGCCCCGTCTCGTCTGTAACACATAGAGGGGCCTGTGTGGGCGGGTAATTAATAAGCAGCTAAAATCTAGAAAAAAGCAATAAAACGCACGGGCTTTGAGACAACTGCCAAGACAGCTTGACGATTAAAATTAACAACGCGACACCCGCGAAAATAAAATTTGTTTTTAAAAGAATTTTGTTGGCAAAATATCGCTGAACAGCTGCGCGGTGTTGTAGCTACGATGATTTCGATAATGTGGCTGTTGCTCGATGATAAGAAGAGAAAAATATTTTTTCAAGATGCATATCGAATTGCTGGAAACGTTCTGTGTGCTACTATGTCCTTGGTGACGCACTGTAGACTGTCAGCGGAAATAATAAAATTTGCATCAGTGAGGCAGCTTGAATTAAACGACCGGAAACGGAAAATAGGGATGTGCCGACTTCAAGCCATTTGTCCCATAATCGAGCCATAACCTTTTTGGCTATCTGTACAAAGATCAACTACAATGTTTGAAAATGGTGTTCTGTAGTCTACCTATCAGGCGAGCCATTAAAACTCCGAAGGGGTTTATTTCAGTTGCCCACTATAATTTTGTGTTTATAATAATGACGTACGCTCCAGATATAAGTAATGTTCGTACAGATTACGATAAAAACTTATTAGTAGGTACTGTTTATTCGCTATTATATGCTCGATCCCGAAAATTGTAATACACAATTTTATTGTATGTGGAAAGAGGTGAATTATTATGTTTAGTGGGTCACACGTAGGTATACGTAAACAACAACATATTAGGGGTTAAAGTATGAAATTGCCGTTTTATTGCAATAGGTTCTTTGAATTTTCATAGAATCTTCATGGTTTGAGGTTTTCGAATGAAACTTTTTTCAAATGGTTTCTGTGATTTTTTTTTTTTTAAATTTGAAACATTTGAATATCGACTTTCAATTGTTTTTGTTATTCAATTTAGACAAGAAAGATGGATACTGCGAAAATTCGAGTGATTTTTGAATACGAGTTCCGACGCGGAACTAACGCGGCAGAAACAGCCCGCAATATCAATGCTGCGTTTGGAGAGGGGTCTACTAATGAACGCACCGTGCGATTTTGGTTTAAACGTTTTCGTGATGGAAATTTCGACTTAAAGAACGAGCCACGAGGAAGACCGCCCGCCGACACAGGTGAATAACGATGAATTAAGAGAGATAGTGGAAGCCGATCCTAGTCAAACTACCCAGGAATTAGCGGCATGGTTTAACGTTACCTTACCCACAATATTGACTCACTTGCGTCAAATCAATAAAATAAAAAAATACGAAAAATGGGTGCCTCATGATTTGACTGATCTGCAGAAAGAAACGCGTGTTGAAACTTGTGTTGCCTTGTTGAACCGGTACAGAAATGAAGGAATATTGGATCAAATTGTAACATGTGATGAAAAGTGGATTCTTTATGATAACCGGAAAATAAAAATGCAATGGCTGACCCCAGGTCAAATGCCACAACAGTGTCCTAAAGCAAAACTTACCAATAAAAAGGTAATGGTAACTGTTTGGTGGTCTCAGCATGGTGTTATTCACTATAGTTTTCTCCGATCTGGTCAAGCAATAACGGCAGATGTCTATTGTGCCGAACTCCGAACCATGTTGACAAAACTAGCAGTAAAACAGCCCCGACTCATGAATCGATCTTCACCATTATTGCTCCACGACAACGCGAGACCTCACACAGCACGAGAAACCATTTTGACCCTTCAGGAACTGCAGTTAGAAACCATTCGTCATCCTCCGTATTCACCAGACCTTGCTCCAACGGACTACCATTTTTTTCGTGATTTGGACAATTATCTACGTGACAAGAAGTTTTCTTCCCAGGAGGCAGTACAAAATGCCTTCACACAGTTTGTGCAGTCTAGATCGTCGGAGTTCTATCGCAAAGGCATTAATAACCTTCCCATTAGACGGCAGCAATGTATAGATAATAATGGCAACTGTTTTGATTAAATAAATTTGTTAAAAATTTAAAAAATAAACAATTTAGATTTTCAGTACAAATCGGCAATTTCATACTTTAACCCCTATTAATAATTACAACAACATAATTAAGTTCAAATGCCAGAAAATGGGATCCGAGTCTCATTATTCTGAACACGGTTCGACATTTTTTTTCACTGCAGTGAATGTTTTGGCATAGTTTCTAACACAGAAATATTTTATGGCATAAGTATGGTTTATTCGAAAATATTATCATAAAATAATTATTACACACACTTTTGGAGAAGTTTCTTTTTTTTATATGTTTATCCTGGCGTCTGTTTCCCATATAATTTATGTTGCTGAATATTCGGTTTCAGCAAAATTACTTTTTTGATAAATTTACGGAAGCAGCATATCAACATTGACGGATCTTGTTCCGGAAGCCATGGCTATGGAAGCGATATTCGAGCAATAGCGTATAGCTTGATGTGCTGTTAACGTACCTCAAACAAACGAAAACAAGATTAGTTCATTGGACAGAATGTAAACGTGTAATTTTCAGGTTAGTTTTCTTTACCTAATTTTAGTGGCAATTTTTATTATTTATGTATTTTGATGAAACGGTAAATAATATTTCAGGATACTACAATCAAATATTAAATAATACTTCACGATAATATTCTAGCATATTTAAATAATAAAAATTGCCACCGAAATTAGGTACCCAAACAGTGCTACGCCCCCGGAAGGATATAAAAATAATTAAACCAAACATATTTAGATTGGTTAGGTTATGATAAGTTAGTATAATAAATTGCAGAGTGAGCGCAGCGAGCGGATGCTCTCTTGCTTTGCAATGATTAAGTTTTGTTTATCTTTAATTTCTATGAATCACACTATATTAAAGCCGAAGTAAAATAAAAAATGTCTACAATGATGCAGGTCGTTTTTTGGATAAAACAATTTAAATTCGTTATTTTAGTCATATAGAATATTAGGGAAAAGAGAATCAGGAAAGGAATAACTTGTCAATGTGTCAAAATAGGGACACATTAAATGATGATGTAACGAAAGAATTCGTAATGTGTCTTCAGACAAATGAAACAAAATCTATTCTATAATCGCCGAGAAGATTTCGGGGAAAAAAAAAATGTTAATCATGTTTCTATTTTGTGATAACCCAGAAATGTAATTTACAAAAAAAAAAACAGATTATAAAGTTTTATGTGTAGCTTTTTGTGTGCTATTCTAATGTTTTCGTAAAAGGTAATAAAAATATGTCCGTTAATTATGAGCAAAATCATCTGATTTGTATCTATATACTACATTATTTTATACTCGTTTGTCATTTTGGAGTAACATTCAGATACGCCTGTATATTTAACTGTTTTTGCACTATTTTGAGAGCAGTACGGTTCAAATTGGAACACCTAGCTGTCAGACAGGTTGATGCTAATTAATCATATACAGGTTGATGTTATTTTCTGATTTTTTTCTATATAAATGTTATAATCTTACTGCATAAACGTGTTTAATTTTTATTTAGCTGTAAGTATTCATCTACTAGACTTTTACTTTATTTTACACACACTCAGCATAGCCCCGCACTAGGGAGCAGATGCCATGGGCACACATAGGTATATAGCCACAAATGACACCCAAACTCACAAGAGAAATAAATGTAGCATACAAATATTTTTTCCGTTCCGGGAATCGAACCCGGGACCTCTGTGTGGCAGTCCAGCATGGTACGGTTACGGAAGCAGTTATAGGCAATAACTAAGGATCCAAATAATAGCATCTTTCTTTGTGTCAACCATTGATTGCAGTCATACTAATATCGCAAACAGGGTCTCCGAAGCGAAAAGCTAAATATGAGTGACAAGTACAATATAATTATGTCTAGTTTGGAGTTCATAGGATAATTACAAACGCCCTGTGCAGTTAAACATGTAGCACGTTGCGATGCGTATATAGCAGCCAGTGTACCACGCTGGTCAGAAATAGCCCCGTTGCACAACTTATTCGCACTACATCTAGGTGCATTGAACTATCCTAATCTCATTGCACCCCGTCGAACGATCAGTGCCAGTCCTTAAATTGTCATTGCAGCACACTATCGCTCCAAATTACGTATCGCCGCAAATTTTTCGTGAAATATTGACATGAACCCACAAATTAATATTGACAGTAGGTTGCAATTTTAAACTTTAATATTCCTTACTTTATGTACTAAAAGGTGTTCGTTGCCGAAGTAGCCTATAAGAAATGTTCCGGTATCACATATAACGTGAAGTAAGTGAGTTGTGGTCTGTTGCAGTGCTCCGCAAAGCCTTTGATGGCTTCGACCACAACCGCTCAGGCAGCATCCCGTGCGACTTCGTCGCCGACATTCTCCGGATGATGGGGCAACCCTTCAACAAAAAGATCCTTGAGGAGCTCATTGAGGAAGTCGATGCCGATAGTAAGTATTTCATCTAAATGTGTGTCAACAACTTTTCTATTTTAGTCTCAAATCCAACTTTTTTGAATAACGAACGACTGTTTTTTCTCCAACACTCCAGCAATAGATTAGTGAGACATGTGCTCCTATAAATTCGCTACTGTATATAGATGCATAGTTAGCTAATGCCTACCTTATAATCACCATAAACCATCTGGTAGCAGTATAACTCCTTGTGAAAGAGTTTGTCCAAGTACTGCCACCTTATCTATTCCTGCTGCCAAGCGGTAACGTGAGCATTACCGCGTTCCGGTTTTGAAGGGTGATGGTGAAATTACAGGCACATGAGACTTGTCGACTTGTCAGTGGGCAGTAGCAGTGCCCCCCAGATCTTTGCGATTTAAAGCTCTGAGTGGCACTACAACTACTAGGCATGTCGCTTACCACCAGGCGCACGACTTGTACGTCTCGTGTCTTGGTATCATAAAAAAACCATTTTATTATAGGTTGCTTGCTACAAGGTGGCCACGCTTTACGTTTGTAGGTAGGGGCGCGGAGACGAAGGTGCAGTATATTGTTTCCAACTTGTTTCTATGATAAACGACATGAAAATACTAAAAACAAAGAACAAAAGATGTGATATAAAAATATCGATACATCGTTATTTTGTCTATGTTTTGGTTACTTGAGTCAACGGAAAATAATTATTGCTATGATATTTCATATGACATTTCTTAGTGTAGGTCAATGGTGTAGGATATTCATTATTTATCAAGAACAAAAGAATCATAATTGAGCTCGTAATATTTATAATTATCATTAGAATCAAAGGATATAAACTATAATAGTAAAAAGTCCGAAACGTTGATTTGTTTCAAACACAGATAAACCTACGAGGTTTTAGATCCTAAACAATACTTGCATTACCATTATACCTATTAGTGTTCACGTAAATTATTTATCAGTTGGCTTTTAAAATTTTGTCACATAACCAACGTATGGACATCTTATGTTTTACAATAGTAGTCTGTTGAAAACTAATTTACTTAGTGGTAATATATTTTATACTAAAATATAATATCAATAGACCTCACCTCAGTATATACTTACCGCTGCTGTACCCAGGTTTTCTCTAATACTCTTATTACTTAGAGCTCAATGTCTGTACCAATACACAGGTTCAATTAAAATATTCTGAAACCTAAAAGAATTAAACTTTGTAAGTAATAGATAACAGTAGTGTTACAACACTAGGTACACTACGTACACTACTACACGTTATATGGCGTAGTAAATAGGTCGTTTTTGTAGTTTTTATGTTTTTGGAACTAATACGCATAGCAAAAAATGGATTCTTTACAGCTGTTTATTCTTTTAAATTGGTTTGTTTTCTTTTGAGAATTACTACGTAATGTTTATTCACAAAACCCTTAGTACAAATTGTAAGCGTAATGCCTACGCATGTGGTTGGTTTCTAAATAAAGAAATATTCTATTTAGAAACTTTTGTTTTTAGTGTAGGTGGAACAGAAACTAATCTATTCTTAGCTTAGCACATGTTACCAATTTGTCTGCTTTAGACTTACGTATGTGAAAAAATATGAGTGGTTTTTACTGTCACCTTCATTCGCTGTCTCCAATCTTTGCCACGGCCAGGGATGAGCAGTGGGTTGAAGCATAACAACCCGCCCGGGTTTTAACCGGGTTATTACCCAAATCGTTGGGTTTTAACCCATTTCTGCCCAAAATCGTAGGTGGAAACGGCGAATACGGAATTTGGTATAATCCCATACTTACTACAAATTTCGACGTAAAACATTTTTTTTTAGACGAAAAAAAGTAACTCCAAACTCCATACAATCCACCTTGCAATCCTGTGGATTCCCACTACTAAGGATACATGCTTTACGATTATATTCTTATAAAAATCGATTCAAGTGCATTAGATCTAAAGATTTTTTGTATCGATTTATTTCAATGCGATTTTCAAGCGAATCGATTTAATAGAATGGCAAATCGAATCATCTAAATCAGTAAACAATAAACATTTTGTAATAATCTCATTAAATTTGAACAAAACTCGATTAACAACAAATATTTAGATGTAAATAGTTTTGTCTCCGATTTCGGGCATTAATGGATTTTAACCCATTTAGATCCGGCGTTACCAAAGCGCCGGGCTAAAACCCAGGCACTTGCCCATCTTTGGTTACGGCGTGTTGTTAGAGACTTAAGAAAATAGTTACTCACCATTTCTTAGATTCGTATTACTCTAGCAATATAATGTAAATTACTTGTATATAATCAGGCTAAGAGCAAGTTGTGTGAAATTTCAGAGTCTGGTCGTCTCGAGTTCCCTGAATTCGTGACGCTGGCCGCCAAGTTCATCGTAGAGGAGGATGCGGAAGCCATGCAAAAGGAACTTAGGGAAGCATTCAGATTGTATGACAAGGAAGGTAAGAAACGTTTTTTTAATTATGAGTACGTATAATTTTGATAAAATCTACATTCCCGTCAATCAACTTGAAATGAAACACTATTTAAACTTCGAATTACTATTTGCTTTCTTTCAGTCTTTGGTATAAAAAAATCCTACTGTTGTAGATATTTATACTTAGTATACTAGTAGAGCTCTTTGTGAAAAAGTTCGTCCAGGGAAGTACTGCCACCTAACCTGTTTCTGCCGCCAAGCAGTAATGTGAGCATTACTGTGTTTCGATTTTGACTTGTTAACTTATGAGTCAGGGTGACATAAGTATAATAACTCATATCTTTGCGATTTAAAGCTCTGAGTGGTACTTCAACTGTTATGAATAGGCGAGTCGCTTACCACCGGGAGCACGTTTTGTTCGTCCCATCACTTGGTGTCATCAAAAATATACGCTAATTTCTTCTAATTTTTGTAATTACAGGCAATGGTTACATTCCCACGTCGAGCTTGCGTGAAATCCTCCGCGAGTTGGATGAGCAGCTCACCGAAGAAGAGCTCGACGGCCTAATTCAGGAGATCGACACTGACGGCAGCGGTACCGTCGACTTTGATGGTAAATTTACGTCCTCGGTCTAAACCATAATTCCACCCAAGTTCTAAGCTACTTGAACTCAGATGAGGATTACTTCATGAAACACGATAGAATCGTTTCTTCACAATTATTCGTGCAAATGTTAATTTTGGCTATTATTTACTTCACAATACTTTATCGTATACCATTTCATATAATATAAATTGCCTCGTCGACTTTTTCTTATGATAGAATAAGTGAGAATTTTACCTCCAACTCACCTGATGGAAAGTGACGATGAGGTCGACAATGTACGATGCTCACTTAAATAATGTCTACTGACTCTCGCCTTGAAAACTCTTGCCTTCTCAAAGCGTTCACGGAATATGTCATGGCACTCCACTAAAAGTGGCAGCACAACATTGAAGTGACACGAATACTTTACCAATTACAAATGGAATAGTTAAGGAAGGCGTGAAGTTTATCATCAGGCGCAATCAAAAGGCGCAAAAAAAAGTTAACACTAATCCGCAACTTCCTAACTTTGATTTTGTTTACTATAGCTGTGTAGATTGAGGGTGACGGCAATGATTAAAGTAATTCTTGGCTGCAAAAATGTATTTAATTAGAATGCTATTTGGCAACGCCACTCACACTCCTGACACATTTGCTATTTAGAGACAGTCAATGTTTTATACTGTCTATTAAACCCTCGCCTAATTAGGACAATGTTTATTGCAGAGTTCATGGAGATGATGACCGGAGAATAAACATCTGTTTGTACTCTTCTACTAATTTTAAGGAATCTCTACTTTGGTACTTCAACCTTTCGAGTCTTGGAAACATTGGACAATATGACTCTAACATTAAGACGAAATGAATCTATATCATTGATAAAACATAAGAGTATTATGTATGTATTGTACAAATAATATCGTTCTTGTTTAATTGATGTGTGTGATTGAGTAATGTTTATACTTTATTAATAAATCTTTTACTCTACTACTCGTAGTTGTTATTTGTGCCTATTTTGAACTTTTCCCAGAAATCGTGATTTCAGGTAGTGTTCTAGTAAGATTTGGGTCCGAGATAAAAATAATAATCACAAAGAATATCGTATTTTAAAAGCGGCCGCCAAATTGTCCTAGATAATTTTGATGACATGAGATCCAGCAAAATTGGCCGCTAGCCAGGGACAATTAATGGGTCTATTTGAGTTGCTCTCCTGTTTTCTTAATAAAAACACGTAACAATTTAAATAAAACAACTGTAGCATATTTAATTTATTATATTATTTTGTTTGTGTAAGAGTTTTCACGTTCACAATAATAGTATCGCAAACTATCAATGTATGGGGCCAACGACCTTTCAAGGCATTAAGCGAAATGCAATTTACATTTTAATTTCATACAAATTTTAATTTTAACATGAAAGACCTACTTAAAAATTTAAACAGACATTTTAATATGGCAAACGCACCAATAGGTCCTTTATAACTAAAATCCATTAAATATTTGGTCAAAAGCTTGTAGGTATAAATTGTAAGAATCATCAAAAACATCTCAATGTATTCAATGAAACTTTAAAAATTAAATATTTCTGAGAATCTACATAAGTACTATTTAATAAAGTAGGTACACAAAAAAGGAGATCACTCATATTTGGCCGGGAAGAAAATCAATAAATATTTAAGAGCTCATCACTTTTTTTTGTATTACTAATTTTGGTCTGTTATTTTGAATAATGCAAACGCATTGACGACGAGAAATCCCAAGCATGGACAAATTTATAGATATAATCAATCAATTTGAAAATTTGCTTGTAAATAATCAAATTGAACAATAATGGTTGAAAGAAAACCGCATTGACAGATTTACAAACACAAAGCAAGCTCGAAGTTACCATGGTGAACATGTTCTACACAATGGGACAATTACCACACATTTGGGAGGCGCATAAGAGAATTGCGGGGTGGGGATCTTTGCGTACCTATGGCGAATCCAATCCTACCACATCACGGGGTCTACTCTCGTGTTTTCCATCTGAAGCAATTACTGTAAATAATAATAACATTCATATCAGATTATAACGTAAGGTAAAAATTAATTACAAATCTTTTGTTTTTTTGTTCAACATCTTTGCTAAACTATGTTTAAGGAAGAGCGGGACCTCCCGACACAAGTATTCAATTACTTAATAGGATGGTTTCAACCTCTGTTTTGTTATGCAGATTGTACTTCAATAAACACTTTTTGATTGTTTTTTTAATACTCGACCAAATTAAGAGATAATGTTAAGTATGAAACTTCATTCGCATCATGCGTTTTTTAATTTGATCGAATACTACTTATTTGACAGTACCTAATTGTTTCGGACGGATGTCGGGCGGAGAGCGAGAGCACAAGGCCAGGGCCAAAACCTACAATCTATTTGGAGATGAACCACTACTAGTGCATATCGCATCATTAGGAAAAGGGCAGTAAGGTATAGCTCCTACTTTATGTGTGCACATATATAACAGAACCCTTTCATGGACAGTATTAAATAATACAGCACATAAAAATGTTAGTACTTTCTGGTAGTCGTTATATTGATTCAATATCAAATTTGTTCAATATATGTAAATCATTGAATTTTGTCGATACGTTGTTGATGCTTCTCTAGGAAGAAACAGTAGGCGGCAACTACATAGAAAGCACTTGGGCATCACACTGTAAAGCCCGTAGTTGGTTTATTGAGATCCATATAGTAGTAGTAACGGAGTACCCCGTTCTATCATCATATTCTAAGTGATTGTGTTAATAGATTTGTAATCAATATAGTAATATAATAGCAACAGTAGAAAATGTTCTATAAAACAATAAACTTCATTACATTACATTCATTTCGTTTTACGGGCCTATGAAAATTTTTTATAATATTGAATATTTTTCTATTGCAAAGTAGTCGCTTTTCGAACTTAAAAACATCTAATGTAATTGTAATAGCTCAAACTGTCCTACTCAATGAACCAATAGTTTTTTTCGTCGGCCTGTATTTTTATTAACTTTTGTTTCGACCCGATTTTCTATAAATTGACTGATCTCCTTTTAGTCAATAATTTAAAAGCCTACTTAAACGTAGACTCAGCTTAGTACAAAATAAGTAAGTAAATTAAAAGGGAACTTAATAAGTTGTATTCAGACAAGAATAAGTATACAATTTGTAATTACTTACACAGACTGTGTAAAAGTAGTTAATTAAAAATAAGTTATAGAAACGAGACTAAACAAACTTATATGTACAAAACTAATTCTAGAAAGAATTTATACAAAAACAAACGAACAAATAAGCATATCAAAAAGAGAGACGTAAAATTTACATGAAACGTTTGTACAGCATTTGTCTTTGATCAACGTAGCTTTGAAACTTTTTACACTGATCATCAAAATTAGTGAAGTCTACACCGGGTCAGAAACTTGACCTTTCTATGAACAAATACAGGACTTTACAAAACTCTCTTGAGGACACTTATTTTTAAAAAGACAAGTACAATAAGTACTGACAAAGAATTGTATTATTCTCCATTATTTACTTTCTTTATTTGTATTTGTATATGATTGATTTATTTTCTTTTCCACTTAATTTCCCTGTATTTATAAATTCCCGTCCCCTATATATCAAAAGTTATAAAAGGAAAACACTTCCTAAAAAAACACAAAGTGGAAGAACCATAAAGTGGTAGAACCTAAGTCATATTAACATTATGTTGTCAAATCCTTCTGTAATGGCACTATATATTTTCCTTAAGCCAAGAGAAAACATTCCCGACTGGGCAGGGAGAATTATCTAATCTTCTTTTTAACTTAAGAGTCAAAAATAGAATTCATTGGTAACATATCTACAAACTAAGTTTTCCCTTGTCTTCGACCAAAACAATATTCCTATACAATAATATACTTATTACAAGCGATCAATGAATTATTTATCATATGTACATATCAAAAAATTATTTCAAATTATTTAGCTTCTTGGCTTCAGATAGAACTATCTAAGGTTTTGTAACTACCTAAAGGTGAGATCTCAATTTAAACTATTTTTTTATTAAAAGTCCGTATTTGGGCTGAAATATTCGTAGTCAAAGCTAATTATCACATTTTCTCAAAAAATTTAGCATAAAAATGTAATAAATTATTATATCTACAATAGCAAAAACAACATACTTTATTTTCAGCGATGACTATAGGAATGAATATTGTAAATGCTTATTTGTAACAATTTTACACAAGGTTATAATCTACAAATCTGTTATGATTAAGTGCACGCAGATAGCTTAATAATACGTTGTAATACAATAAGACACGAATCCATCCATGAAGCCGTTTCACAAATACCTTTTTATACATAAAGTGAAACTGATAGCTATCCACGAGGCACCAGCGCGCTTATGATGCATTTCTAACTATTAAAAGGTAATAGGTATTATCAGGGCTCGGAAAACCGGTATCAATTTCTAAACAACATAAACTGGTTAATTTGTTTTCTCTCTTCAGTTGCATTTGGAATTTTTCTATTGTTGTTTGGTTGTTGAAAACTTAAAATAAACAGATTAAGTAGGTCGCTCATATCGTCAACATTTTTTGTATTGCGATCGTCTTCGTTGTATCATATGACGGACATGACACACAAGGCAATCTGGCCTTGTACAACAGGTGCCACAGACGCAGTTGGCTATGACAGACATGACAGTCATGATGAACATGCCCGACACGACGGACACACATGATGTATTTGGGAAGTTGGACAGCCATGACCAATAAGACATAACTGCATGTGGCCGATACGTCCAAGTCCGTAATGTTACTAATGCCTATAATTAATAGACACGTTCAAAATGTTACTAAGCAGTGATTTCGTAGTGGGGATAATGCTTGCCTGCTAAGTAAATGGCCCGTATACAGCACTGCCCTCTTGTCATAAATAGCGCATTGGCATTTGTTGGTAGGTCAATGCACCTAAAGTCTTTTTTGTTAGTATAAAACGTCAATCGCGCTGATGATGCTTAACACTAAAACCGAAACTAAATAAGATATAATAGACCAATTAGAGGCTGTTGTAGGTCTCGCTTCGGTGATCCTAGATATGTTAATCAATCAAATTGAATAAAAATATCGATTACGTTAGTTATGACAAGGGGGACAGATCAGTGGACGTATGTAGATTGATAAATCAATCTTAAACACTATACTCAAAGGAGTTCCATGCACACTAGTGGGCCTGTGTAGGTTAATAAACAAAGAATAAGCCCTCTCCTTAAAAGAGTCCAGCACATAACAGTATGCGTCAAATCATTGGTATGCGTATATAAATTGGTATAAGCAAAGACAGCAAATATAAGTTGGTTTCATATTACAGATAGCAAGGATGCTTTTTGTTTCAGAAATAAATGTATCTGTGTCAATAAACATTGTGTGAATTGTGGTTGAAAGGGTGTCCTTTCCCGTTCGGAAACCACTGTACAAAACAATTGCAATATTCGGTCTACTTGACCGATTGGTCATGATTCTTTATTGATGAAGCAACTTTACCTACGCCTGGTGCCAAATGAATGATACGTTCCCAAAGTTAGGTTTCGACTATGGTCGGCGATCACCATTCAGGCAAAGCCTAAATACTACCTTGAAATTTAAATTATATTTCAGCTTGATGTTTGGGATAGCCATGTTCAAAAGGCGTTCTGGGTAATTTTGTTATATTTGTGGATTGGTGTCCTACTCCATGTTGACTGTATTAAGCGCCTGGTTGCAGAGGGAGGCGTGGTTCAAAGCCAAATTCTTTGCAGACTGGTGTCAAGTAGTAGGTAGAGAAGTAATAGTATAGCTACCTACAAAAGGTGTTCCTGCTCACCAAAAAACCCGGTATACTCCATTGTGCCGAATGGCGACCGGTTGCAAGATCGCAATGATCATTCCTGTGGTATTTGGGGCACCTCGCCCGCTCCAACCCAGACACCCATCTGTTTAGCAACACGCCCTTTTACCGTCTCGATCATCTACTTTCTCCCTGGCTATTTGCTCTTTTTAATGGTGGCCGCGATCGTTTCAGTTAAACTAATTTATTTTATTTGGTGTAGGTTAGTGCAGTTCACAACATTTGTTAGATTAACCGATAAATCAATAAACGATAAATTAACCAGTGATGACGAAAATAAACGGTTTTTTAAAGCGGTTCCAAACCCTGGGCATCATTTATATTACGCATATTTATCTAACTATACATGTAAAGTATAAGTAGTTATTTGAATACTGTTTGTGTAGATAGATCTTCGTTCCTTGTAAAGTTTTCTCGTAGGTATATCTAACATACCGTGCAGTACTGCCCTCGTAATACTCTGGAAATAATAAAAATTCACATCAGCAACTAATCAACAAGATTTTTTAGAATCGAGAAAAAATATTAATGATTGTTACCTCACTTTGCCACTCCGGCAAATATGACTAGTAGATATGATGCCGACGTAATTTTCAGTGTAAGATCGGAGGTGGTGGCCGCGCTCGACCCCTGGGCTTCATAGGAAGCGTGCTTAATGTTGGCAACGTATCCTGCTGCTTAATTGCTCGACCTTGACCTCTCCGCCCGCGGCCTAGCCAAGGTGGCAATCGGCCTTCGCACCAAACACTCTCAGCCCAATTCGCCGGTTCTGCCCCAAGTCGCGTGCATTCCCTTGCATATGCTCTATACGCTGCACAGTGGCACCGAACACCTACACAGTTACAAGCATCCAAATAACAAGCCTCCCGATAATTATAAGGATTCATCCGGAGTCTACATTCTGCAAACGCTTCATTTCTGTCAAATCCTCGACAAAGTCTTCGAGCCTTCGTCATCTTGGTCTGCCTACAACGCGGGTTCATTGGTCGCTCTTGACGACGAGTGCAAGCACGTGTTCCACCCACGCGCCACGACATGCCAAATTTCCATGGATCACTCAACAATTTTCCATCTCGTGACTTCATATCATCTCTAGCAACAGAATTAAAATTACCGCATAATCCACACAGTTTTCCTTTATATGCACTGGATACCGTCACTTCTAAAAAGCCGTCACCATCCCAAAGTATTTGTATGCCAATATCAGCTTTCAGCAAAACTGATCCATTGTTGCGAGCTACTTCAGCGACACCGTTCATAACATACGGCAATGTTATTCTCTGTCCATTAGCTTTAATGCGCATCTTCTTGCCCATGTTGAATTTGGTGGCGCCAATGCGAAGCGTCGCTGTTCGTGTCCATGAAGAATGCGTTGTATTTCTTGCGTCATTTGATATTCTTATTGAAAATGTGTTGTTAACGCAATCCGAGACCAGTTGATATTTGCACGATCCTTGAAAACTATAGAATTTTCCATCGAAAGTTTTGTAGTGGGGATCGCCAAAGACCGTACATATTCCGTCAATATCGATGCACTTTGGACAGCACTGGCCGGGCATTTGGCGCAAAACTTGATCCGAAGAGCAAGACATAGTAGGACAGCTTTCCATGGCGCAGCGTGGTTCACCTGCATGGCATTCACAAGATTTACATGCGTCGAGTTGCCAGGTATCTCCGTCCTGTAACAGTTAGAAAAATACTATATAGTTGCAACATAATAATTAGGTATACATACAAAATTTATAATAACGCACACACTATAATAATGACGCACACACTCAACATAGCCCCGCACTAGGGGAACCCTGTGTCGCGGGTGCCATGGACACATACATAGACAACCACAAATTACACCCAAACTCACGAGAGAAATAAATATAGGCTATACAAATATTTCTCCCGGGACCTCTGCGTGGCAGTCCGGCATGATAACCGTTTGGCCACGGAGGCAGATAAATATTATAATATAATTTCCAGAAATTAAGGAGTACCTACTTGATAAGTTTTTCCACCAATAATACAGGAAGCCTTAGCTTCTTCGACTTGAGGGCAGACTGGGCAACATTTGCCGGGAGGCGGGGGCAGCGCTCGAGCACCGCATGTCAATACAGGACAAGTATGTCTCATGCACACCGCTGTGCCGTTCATACATGTGCAGTCTGTGCACGGGTCCACTCGAAACGTGGTGAGATGGGCGTTGAAGTGTTGTCCGATTATGCATGACTTATTTCCTGAAACTGCATTTCAAATGATTAGACTTGGTTGCCAACAAGCTGAAATACTTGGTAAAATAGTTGTGTTGTGATGAGACTTCAACTTACGTGGCATAATTTTATCCATGGTGTTGTACTTGCACCGCGGACAACACTCCCCTATCGGTGTATGCTGCTGAGTGTCATGACAAGGAAGCACAGGACAGGCGCGCTTAGCACACGATAAAGAACCATGCACACATCTACATGATAGACACGGTTCCTCTGTAATGCGCACATCTCGTCCTTCCCGCACAAGTTGCCCGTTGATTCTGCATCCTGAAATTTTAATAAATTAAATGTAGCATCTATTAATAATACCTACTTACAGTATTCTCCGAAAAAATCTCCAAAATTATCCTTGTCTATAGAAAAATCTAAACGCCTGACGGTGTGTAATTAGCAAAGTCGTTTCACGTAAACGCACGCAACGGAAAACCATCAGGAATCACAACTAACTAATACGCAGGATAACAATCTAGATCAGAAACCACAGAAACGGATATAATAACTTTCAAATTATAACAACAAGTAGGTACGATAGGTAGGTACAATCTTTTTTTATGTATTATTAACTTTCAGCTCGAATTATTGCCGTTTTAAAAAAAATCCTTAAAGGTATTTTAATTTGGGCGCATCATTTTCATTTAGAAGCGAGGGAACCTTTTAGTTCACTTTTATGGTAGGTACGCGAAGGGTGCAATAAAATTTAAAACAAAAATGCTTGCCATTGTTCGGGGACTAAAGGCGGTGGGGTCGTGTTGTCTGCGACAAAACGCAATGTCCATAAATTAGTGAGGGCGAACGATGAATCAATCAGGACTAAGTCGGGTCGTAATGAGGAGGCCGCACACGGAGCCCACCTCCGCGCCATAGCCGACGGGCACCCAATCACCTGTAGCCATACCTTGGCGGCTAACACGTATAAATAAACTTGTGCTTTTAGGGATCAATAACTTAATATTACAATACAACACCAGTTGTCAAATAGTTTTACGTGGTTAAGTTTATAATTGTACAAAACGCCATTTCGTTCCAATTATGTCACAAATTTAAAATAAAAAATTACGTATGTACTAGGTACACACGCAAGCACATCAAGCAACACATTGACGTATCTTGTTCCGTTGCACTGGAGGCGATTTTCGAACAAAAATGTGTAGTCTGATGTGCCGTTGTCCGTAGTATGAGAGGTCCCCGTAGAAAAAGTTAACTGTATTTATATTTATATAGTTAGAATCACTCCTTTCAAATCTCTCAGTCACTTTATATATAATATGGGAATAGTAATAAAGAAAACTTTTATATATTGAATAGTGAGCACTCGATGCTTTACTTAATGGCAATCGTCGCGCGACGTCCGCGCATAATATTAATTGTGACAATGACAGCCAAGTGTCTGTCGTAAAACTAGAGACGACCAAACAAAGTAAGTTGTCCTTTTGTGGGAATACAATCAGCATTCATCGGTGGTCCGCGCCGTATGGTACGAGTCATACAAATACTAAGTGCTGCGTCATAAACCTTACTCTACACACATACTCTCTTTCCCAATTTCGTTGGCTGCAAAGTAATATTATAGTTCCTAAGTTCTCCTTTTTTTTTTTCAAGTCAGTAAGTTAACTAAAACTTAATAAATAAAAAATATTTCGCACATGACAACGTAGTATCATCTCAAAATTACTTCACGTTATATTATTAATATTTATACGAATGACATACAAATATAGCGAAATTTTGGAGATAAATTATTAATATAACGCAATTTTTGAGATAATACTGTCGAAACACAAAACTGCGAATCAGCGCGATGCGAATTCGCAACGCAGAAAATTGCGTCGCAAATTGCTACGATGCGATTTCGTGCGGCAAGGCATCTCACTGCCACGGTTCCCATAACCATTCCCTCGAACATCGCCAACCGCACTGAACCGTATTTTTTAAACTAGGTAGCGACACGGATCGTAAAAAGAGTGTTGCACTACTGATATTGATAAGACAGTATAGGGAAAAAACGCAAAGAAGATTAACGTCGCAGGATTGCGCGATGCGGAGCCATTCGCAAATTCTTGCGATGCGTCGTGCGAGCTCGTAGATTTCTGCGATGCGACGTTGCGTCGCAGTTTTGTGTTCCGACCCTTAATTGTCAAGTGCGATTTGAACTTAAACAAAAAGCGTACGACCTCCATTTTGTTTGATGTAGGTAGATAATATAGTCTAATAAATAGTCGTACATATTCGACGATTTTTAACTGCCTGGTGGTAAAATAATTTATGCTTAATGGTAATTACTGATTCCCGTTTTCACACTACAACACTACCTAAGTAAGCGTGAAAAATTATATTCCATAGTAATTTTAAAAAGTGTAGAATTCGAATTAAGTATGTGTTTCCCACAAATTGTTATGTATTAGCCATGAGTTACCTATAAAACATTCACAGCATACGCTGCTAAGCTAATTATTTCAATTTCAAAGTTGGTCGTCGCGAGCATGTCTAATAATAAAAAAGACAATCGTACAAACTCGTCAGGAATTTCAATGAGACACTTTTTTGTTGTCGTCAAAAATAACTACATAAGTTTGTTTTCTTTACTTTGTAACAAAAATTCATTGTATGACTTTAAAAAGTCCTCCCTGACATTTACAATTACGAAAAAAAACTTTACTTAATTACCTACCTACCATTCAACATATATGCTTTAAAGTCTCATGAAATTACAAGACCTGAATGAAGCGTCTTGTTTCCCATTTAAGTTCCACTCGAAAGAAAAAATACATTACTGCGATGGTAAGGCCCACGGAATCGTGGAGATACACCAAGTAGGAGCAAAAAACTTAATGCACCGTTGGGATCATAAAACAAACAAATACACGGCTCACCTCTGGTTCCCGCAGCCGCACTGACGTCGGCTGCTTTGACCATCGCACAAAAACCTACCCGCCTCAACCTCTTAAGTACGTTGTTAACTTTTTGATTTATGGTCAATAATAGAGACGCAATGCTGTAGGAGACTTCGACCACCTCGAAACATATGTAATTATTATGAATCGCTGTGAACACGTAACAAGGCCTTATTTCGTATTAGATAGAAGTGAATTCTTTTGTCTCCGAGAAAATTAACCGCTCCGGAGTCCGCAAAATGCGATCCATCCCGGTGGTCCTCGCAAAGCAATTTTACAATAATCTCTTGGGTTCATGACAAAACAAATAAAAACTATTTTTTATTCGCACTTTCATTATATGTTAAATTAACGTAAACTTTGGTCAAGAGTGCAATTAAATTTTTGTTTTGGCGCCACCATCATACTGTTTATAGCTTTATGTTTTTTGTTTTATTAAGCAAGAATCTGAGATCAATTCGTCTCTGAAGATCAAAGTTTTATGACTGTGGCCTTTCATTATTGATATGCCAATTTATTTTCAGCAGAGTGTTCTGTTTAGACAGAAAAATATGTTATTTTGTTGCTCGATAATAATAGTCTTATAGATATAAGTATGGAGCAGCAAAACGAGACGAGTTATTGGTCCATTGTCTGAAGGCAGGCTACTGCGCAACGAGTCTTGTGCGCTATGCCATTGTCAACGACGGCGTGGGCGCGCCGCGGCCACCTAGCTCAGGCCCTCTTCCTAGGTCAGACATGAAATATGACTACTAATCTCCAGAATAACGACAGAGCCTATTATATACCTTACAAACACATAAACATTATAACAGCTGTTGAGTGATGAAGCAATTCCAGTGAGGTGGTAAAGAGATCCCTAGTCTCCAGCATAACAACTAGTCGGTAATTAATAAAATATAAACATAGGCAATAAAACGATAGAAAGGAATGTGTCGGCAATTTTCAAAAGCGATTTCGAGTCGTCATCTTGTAAATTACTATTATTTGATATGGAATTAATAGAGTTGTTAAGGTTTGAGCGCGGAGGTAAATTGGTGGTTGTTTTAGTTTTATTAAGTTCGCGTGGCGGCTTGTGTTTGTTTTCGTAAGGGATTATGGACGTTGTTTTTTGCTGCCCGCACGTCTGGGTGGGCGCTCTCCGAGACACGGCTGCGCCAGGGCCGCTCACCAATTATATTCATCGGATATAAAGTACCTACTCCCGGTGGGAAAAGCAGCGTGAAATGGACAATGAACTTTTTCAACGAAATACTTTTTTTACACTATATTAAAACTTTTTCAAACCACTAATTTTGAAATAACTTACTCGAGTTAGGCCACTATATTCTTATATTATCAACTAAAATAGAATGTTTATATTAATTAGAAGCTTGACTTACCATCGCAAACAGGACAGTTGTAGTGAGTATGCCTCTGGTGTTTGGGCTTTTCACAAGGCGAGTAGCACTCTGGTCTTGAGATAGTGATGACACCGGCCTCACAGCGTAGCACTTTGCCGTCGTCTGCCCATTCCGTATGAGAAGCGTGTTCAGTCCCATTATACCAGCACCCTTTACATCGCGCACAGCAGCCTTCGCGAGGCATCACCACTGCGCACTCTTTCATATCGCCACACTCTTCTCCTCCGTTCCGGCACTCCACGAACCCGTTCTAAAATGAAAAGATATTAGGGGAGATAGAATCCATCTCTTAAAGTTTACTTTTGAGTGTTTTTTGTAGTCGCAGATATAGTAGTCGGAGCGTGATTCAGAAAATTCGTCATACGAAATAAGTAGCAACAATATGGTCAACTCTGTGGTTGTTTATTGCTATGAAATCGCAGGTTAAATAGGCAGTAAAACCCTCTCACAATCCTAACTTTAAAGAAATAAAACATTTTTATTGTGTATTGGTACGTAGTTATATCAAACCCAAAATATTTTAATGTGCCAATTACATACGAGTACGCGGTTGCGTAGCAGCTGTGATTTTGCTTGTGGCGTTACGGAACTGTTTATAGTGGATTTTTTCCTCATTCCTTTTATTTTATTTATTTATGCATCACATAGGTATGTTACTAAAAATACGACGTATCATTACAATTAAATATTAAGCTGTAAGTGTGTGATATTCCAAGCAATGAATGAGTACTAGAAAATATATTTTTAAGTCCGTAAACGCAAACAATGAAATGAAACTGTTTTTTCGGATCTTAATCGCGAATAATTGTGTTTTTTCAACCAAAGCAATGTTTCAGACAGTTTTATGTGTAACAATAACGAAAACCTAATATCTCGATGCAAATAATGAAGGTAAACAGTTATAATCTCAGTACAGAGTACTAAAAAAACCGACCTCAAAAGTCATTCATCCCCTGGTTTGCCACCCTTAGAGTGTAATTTTTTCTTCAAATTTAAATGAGACCACTACTGAGGTTATGTATATATATATATCCCATTTGTGAACTGATTTTGATGATTCTTTTTTGTTGGAAAGAGAGTACCTCAGGTGTAGTGATTTGAAGAAAATATTCCACCTCTAAGGGTGGCAAACTGGATGGTTAATGTTTTTTGAGGTAGGTTTCTTAGTACTCTGTACTGTTTTTGTACTACAAAGTTTTTCGTCGTCATTTTAAAACCATTGTGATTCATCTAACGATGAATAGTAACTAAATTACTCAGAAACAATAAAAAAGACTAGCGCATTCACAGGAGGATTGCGTACATAAGTACATTATATTGAAATAAAAGAAAATATTATGATTATCCATTCATGAGCTGCAAACAACGCATGAAGCTTGCTTTTGTTACGGTGAGGGTTATCAAGTGAACCATGTTTAGGTAATTGTTAATGATGAACTGAAAATATAATGCAACGTTTGCAGAGTCAGTACCGCAAATAACGATAAGTATGTAGCAATATTGTGTTTCCTCCAACCGCAAACAAAAGGTCTATCTTCGATTTCTTTAGGTAATAAATTAGTGAAAAATGAGTACAGGCAAGTATTTTAAAACTGAAACTGCAATGAAACAGGAAACCGCCAGAGCCAATCACAAAAGAAAGTCGTTAATACCATAATAGCTTTCTTTGACCTCGTCAAGAACTGAACTCTCAATTAGCGTTGTGATAAAATGCACTTGGCCAATATACGCAGCGTTTTCATCTGTAATAAGATCAGGACCCATTCACATAATTATTTATTGCGCTGTTTAACGGCTCTTTGTTCTCAGGCGCATTTGCATTGGGCACGTGGCTGGGCTCGGGGAAAATGTTAATAGCATTTCTACATAACCTCTTAATACCTACGCATTAAGCATAAGTATGGCCAGATAAACTTCTAAGCAACGAGCAACTGCTTTACTAGTTTTTTAGACTTATCGGGCTGTTGCGTACGTATCGAACAAGATACTAAGTAGATAATCATGTAAAGTGTTGTTACATAAGGAAACGGTTATTTAATGTTTAACAGTCCAAGGAATTCAAGCAACTTGCTAACAAGTCGACTGGCAGACAGATCAATATTGGCAGCTAATATTTGCACAAATCTGTACACTATCATCGTTTTAACGCCAAACATTGAACCTAATTCTATTAGTTTATTGGGTTCAACGCCGGTGCTCACAGATTTCCCTTTGATATACCTACCTAAGAAATACAAGACAACGCTTTTGTGCAGAAACACTGAGATAAACCAAACGTATGATTTTAAATTCAAGAAACTTACTTTCTTCAAATTGTTTTAGATTACGAGAAAATTTCATTACACACCTACCATTAGTGAGAAAAAGATTTTCTGAAAATTCTTAAAACGGGTTCTTAGAAGTAATCGACAAAGCACATGAGATAACAACACATTTTTTTTATATTTTACACATTATCTACGCGAGGTTGCCCACTCTCTGTTGTTTATTGTTTTTCAATATTTCGGCCGAATTTCACATGCGGCTCTCTTTGAACTCACCCTCGAATAGCGAAATATTTACGTTAGACGTCGGATAAAAATACGTGTAAGTCTGTCGACTGGCCATTACTTAGCATAATTTGTGTGCAGCATAAAACAGAACAGATTACCGATTAATACCTACATTCAATATGCGAATTAGGGTAAGCCGTATGAACTTTAATAAACTTAAATTAATTGTATGTTTATGTGGATTATCAATGCTCATTATTAAACACGGTTGTGCTAGTTATCAGTCCTTTAACAATACCTATTTTTTCACTTACAAAAACAGCTTAATAGCTAATTAAATTATGGAACATTATATTACGATTTTATGAGGCTTATTTATTTATTTATTTATTAAGGTTCGCCAACAATTGTTACAACAACATTATGAGTGGTTACTATTGCAGAAGTACTATACTAATTGCACAATTTTTTACAGATGAAAACAGCATGCAAGTAAATTAGTGGACACAATGAAGTAGTACGTGATGGATATGTACTCGACTCGTCTTTATGGACACATTTCAATAGTAAATAAAAAAGAAAGAAAATAAATAAACCTAAAGTGTATACTATAATATACTCTGCGCCTAAAGCTATAAATTAAAATAAAAGAAAAATAGATCACGATGACGTGATAGACCTACGGAATTTAAACAAGGAATCGTGAAATATATCTAGATTATTTATATCAATGCTAAGATGATTGTATAAGCACAGACGAGGAACTCGCGAGTTGTGACCTACGCTACTGTCCTGTGAATAGGCGTCGAAAAGAGAGCTTTAATTCTGTGACGGGGATACCTATGCGGCACTTTAAATTTGGATTGTACATCAGGAACTTAGTGCCTATTTCTACGAAATTAGTGCCTAATTACAAATCAATGCTTTTATCGCAAGATTAAAAGTCTCGGTGGCCTTGTTAACAACATAAAAACCATATATTGTGTTTTTTAAACAGACTTCGGCAGCAGTAGAGCTCGGAAGTATTGCCATCTTATGTGTTACTGCCGGCAAGCAGTAATATGAGCATTACTGCGTTCCTGTTTATAAAGGTAGGGGTTCTAGCGAAATTATAGGCATATTATTATGGAACTTGTCAACTTATGTATCAGGGTAATGGGCGCAGTGGCAGTGCTTCTCATATCTTTGCGATTTTTTATTTATTTATTTGGTTTACCAACAGCTATTACATTGTGACTTATTTTCTAGGTACAATAATTTGTGGTTTTAAGTTTAATGCACAGCTAATTACAGGTAAACACCTCATGCAAAAAAAGTGGCAAAGGAATTTATAACACTTAACTTAAGTATGTTATTAGAAACAAATACTAATAACTGCCTACGTCTATACAAAAAAAATGCTATTTTATCTTATCTTAATGTTTTTTTAAAACAAAAGCAAACAAACTGCATGTACGTCCACATATTCACTATTTATAAGTTACAAATTCTGTATATAGGTAGTCGTAACAAATCTAGTTCTTCGAAGATGTGGGCAAAGTGCTGGATAAGGTATCGGAGGTATCTATGAGGCACTCTAAATCTTATTTAGCTTAGTAGAATCGGACAATCAATTTGGTTTCGTAGTAATTAAAACCCTGAGATTTACAACACTGAGCGGCACTGCAACTGTTACTAACAGATGTGTCGCTTACCTACCAGTTATCACCAGGTGCACAACTTGTTCGTTCCGTCACTTGATATAAAAAAAATATGGAAAAGTACTACACAATGTTCTTGATAGATTTAACATTTGACACAAAATGTAGAGGGTTATCAACTAGGTAAGTTAGTTGGTTAATTTCAACATATAACTGCTAAACGTCGTTGTACCTAACTTGCGTAATTAATAGCGACAGATGACAATATCGATTTGACCGACTTACTAGCTTGGTTAATTAGCTTTTTGCGAACGTTTTCCTTTACGCGTTTGTTTACTTTGAGTAGAATCGGTAATTACCTAAGTATTAATGAATAAGTTGTGATTGTTCCTATTAAGAACAAGTATTGTGCTTATAGTTATGAACAGTTTAACACTTGTTTCACAATTTTACAATACTTAAGGTATACAATTTTATTAAAAGAAATGGCAATAAAGAAGTGATACGATTAAGATTGGACATTTCTGTGTAAGCCTCTCCTATTACATCCCTAAGTTGACGATTTGGTTTATGAAAAATTGTTTAGGCTTAATAAACCAGAGCTATAAACATTTGTACATAGCCCATAATAAGAACGATATGATTACGTTTTACTTAGTGCATGAATCGTAGGAAATTCTCTGTTGTCGTCATTTAAATTGTAACGTACGTACCCAATTTCATTTGTAAATAAATTATTTTGAATTTGTATATTTGTGTACATAAGCATTACACGACTTCTCATAAAATATTATCAGAACATATTTTTAACCTCACATTCTCAATGTTCGCATCGAGTTGATAACATAATAATAACGTCCACACTCAACGCACACACTCAACACTCAACAGACAGGGTTTCCCTAGTGCGGGGCTACGCACTAGGAAAACTCTGTCTCGATGAATAATGCAGGTCATTTTTGGGATAAAACAAAATTTAAATACGTTATTTTAGTCATATAGATTATTGGGGAAAAGATAATCAGGAAACGAATAACTAGTCAATGTGTCAAAATAGGGACACATGAAATGATGATGTAACGGAAGAATTCGCAACGTGTCTTCAGACAAATGAAACA